TTTTACATAAGATTTAACTGGCAAGTTCTTTTGCAGGGAAATACAACTTTGAAAAATTTTGAGTCGCTGAAAGATATGTTATAACCAGTTAATGAATTGCGCATCCTTGAAAAGTTTGATTTTTGCTTGAAATTTTGGTATTTTTGGTCCGGGTTTAATTTCAATTTTAACCTGAGCCGCATTCCTCACATTGTCCTAGAGAACCTTATTTCCGGACTTATTGCTTTTGCAAATACCGCTGGAATCAAACGATAAAATCATTGGATAAGCAACGCAACCACTACGTCGCTAATGCGCTACGTAACAGAAGACTGGTTGCGTTTCGTGCCGCGACTACGGGTTCTTCTTCTCTGTTCTCGGGATCCTTTAAGTCAAAAAAAATAAACCAACTACGTTGAAAAGACCTTAATCAAATCTAAAATCGTAAACGACATTAACAGTACAGGGGCTAAATCTTTTCGCTATTTTAAGGCATGCCTTTCCCTACACTACCTTGCCACCTTGCCTCAAAAAATAATCCTAGGTATTCCCGGCAGCAATGGCACTGTAAAGTAAATGCAACAGTGCGAAACGTGTATCCCAGCAGAGAACACCTGTCAACCTGATCACCCCCAAAAAAGGGAATGGGCATGGGAGGGCGGGGGCGCAGAGGAGGGGTTTTTCGGGTGAGAAAAATAGAAAGGGCTAGGAAAGGACGAAAATGTCAACCCTGAAATTGATTTGCGCGGACGTGCCATTGGTTTAGCTAAAAGAACGCAGTAGGAAAGCGAGAAAAATGGCTATTTAAAAATCGAAAGCGGAAATTTGTGTTTCAAGGAACCGGCAACGCATAACGATCGCATTTGGTGGCCTGGGATCTTGACGCGCGCGACAAGCAACGCGCAAGCTCCAGCTGTTGCGTTGCGTGTTGCGGGCGGGGAAAAAGAAACCACAGCCTTACGAGTCCCTTTAAACGGCTGCTTCCGGCACGATCACTTTAGAAATTATGACTTGTTAAATTAGCCACGAGAATTTGGCCCTAAAGAGTTGCAAAACTAAGTTAAAGTCAAGAAGAAGATGCTTACCCAAGTTTACAAGATTTTTCAGGTCTGAAAAATTTGGGAAAATATTAACCTGCTAAATTAATGCCTACAAAACCCTTTTAGAATAGCTAAAAACAAAATCGCTGCTTTCCCCCGATTTATATCAAAGTTTTGTAATTTTTAGGCCCACGAAAAATCCGTGAAAAATGATGTGACCAAGAGCTGCTTTCCCAGCTCAACACGAAAATGTCAAAAGCGCCATTTGTAAACGGTGCCGGGCAGCCCCGGATCGATGGGTGAGCGGGGCCGAGTCGGATAAAATCGGGCCGTCTACACAAAAAGTGGGGGTCTGGAGGTGGGAGGGGGCGGCGGAGGAGGAAAATTCGACGTGAAAGGACGCCTCGCCATGAAAACAGTATCGCCCGTGGGGTAGTGATGTGGTTAGGTTAAGATCAAAGTGTTTTAAAGGGATTGTCAAGACAGGGCTATGGATCATATTGGCTATGATTCGGATAGATTTGGCATGCATAAAAGATTTCTTCGGCTATGGCCTCCTATAGATTTTGTGCCGCCCGTGACACGCAATGCGCCAGCCACCCGACCTCCATTGAAGGGACGTAAAGCAGAACGCAATGTAAGACTAAGCGTGTCAGTGCGCGCTGCGTGCCACCTGTGCAACAAAACATAGCAGGTATCCATAGCAAAAATTCTGCATGCCTTGCAAGGCCCTTTAAAATCGTTTAAAATCACTCGAATAGGATCTTACGGAAAAGTTGAGGGAAAAATGTACACGGAACCTTCTTAGGCAGCCACCTTGAAAACCGTACACTCGGTGGAAGATAAAGCCGAAGAAGAGGAGGCCATTTCCGAAAAAAACGACCACTCTCTCTCGGCCACCCGAACCAGAGGAATGGGGTCAATTTGCGGGAGGACGGGGAGGAGGGTGAGGTCTGTGGACCGGCAACGATTGCACAGATGGTTTGCGGATCTGCGGCCGATTTGGGGTGAAAGTGGATAGAAGGGAGGTTTTTTGTTGTTTGGGGTTAATGGGTTGGAAAAAGTAAGGGAACATTTTTTAATGCGAACCACATTTTTTTCAAGTTCAAACAGGTTCAAATTGCATGTCTTTCGGCTCCAGCCGCTAGAAAGATTTCAAACGGCATGGGAAACCCAGAATCTTAAATTTCGTCTGAATAGAAAAATTCGCTGAAGTCTAGAAGTAGCCTGACAAGCAGAAAAACTGCAAAAACTGCAAGGACTACTTTACGATGCTATAAACGAGGTTTAGTACGAACACGGACCGCTGTTTCGGTTAGACTGTAAAGAAATGCTAATTCTATAAACAAAATAGATAAAAATTACATTACATTTGCTAAACCTTCGATTTGCCAGATAGGCTAAACTGTCAAAAATATTTTGCAGAACCCGAAAAACGGGAATATATGCAAATACCCCACAAAAAGCGGGGTTTAATCGGCTTGGCACACGAGGGGTTTGTTTTCAGGATCCGGCAAAAAGTGATGATTCAGAGCCGAATTTTTCGGATTTCCGTAATTTTTTGAGAAGTGGCACATGAGGAAACCGGTAACATCCTTTAGCTATTTTGCAAACCAAAACGTGAGGATAATGAAACTCGCCAACGCTCAGAATGCTTTGGGAGAAGAGGTGCCGGAAACCTGAGCTCGCCGAGAAAAAGGGAAGGATAGGAGGAGCAGTGGGCTCCGAACAGTGAGACGAACCCACTAAAAAACGCGAGGCAAAGCCGGGGAGACAAAAGCCTCAAGGAAGGGGGGGGGGGGGGGCAGTTTTGAGCAGCCAGGACGGGTGGGGGAGTTGAACACAACTGTTAGGCCGGGCCAGTCGAGTCCGTGTTTCTTTCAAGATCCTCTTGCTTATGCACACGGCATGAAAGGCGGAAGGATTCCGTGAGTTTCAGAATCTCACAGCAAAAAAAAAGAGGTTTTACAGATTCAAGAGCAGCATGTCCAATTTATTAAAATGAAAATCATATTGTCGACATTTTTCTAATGACGAAATTTGCATAGGATTGCGGCCTTTTTTTGAAAGATTTCGGCATTATGAGACACGGCATTGTACCATTTCGGCATTCTAAAATCAGAAGGTAATTACGGCATTTTGTAATTTCGACATTACGAAATTTCGACAATATGAAACAATTTTTTCAGAGCGAAACCCAACATCTACTTTCGATCGATATACCTGCTTAAATCTTTAGAGAATTTCAGAATCGATCAGAAAAGTTGATTTTTGCTTGAACAACGTGAGATATTTTGCACATATAAAAAGTTATAATAACTGAAAATCAAATGATTTGGGAGCAAATAAATCTTTTCATATTTAATGGTCATCTACTAGCTTAAAGAAATGCTCATTTGAGTACCTAAAAACCCCCGTGCACAACTGTCTACCTCCGCCAGTCCGCCGGCGCCACAAAATTAATGGGCCCAGTTTTTTGTGGCGTAATCTATTATTCTGCGAACGGATCCTAGGGAATTAATGTTCCGCTTTCCTTACACACGCTCTCGGCGGCAGTAAAGACCCGAAAAAGCTGTGAAATGCGTGAACTTTTTGGATCAATTCGACAACTCCGTAAAAAACGTTTAAAATGGATTGTCGGGGTTCACGCCTAAAGTTCTTTATTACTAATTTTTAGAATTTTTCTTCAATTTATTCCCGCTGATTATAGGTTTTATTTGGGCAATTTTGTTAAATTTCTCACCTCCCACTGTTTACGCAGCGATTCCGATTTGTAGATTGTCGAAAAATCCGGAAAATACGTGCCAAATCACGATTGATTGGCCGAATCAACCGCAAAGCCAATATGTTTATCTAAAAACCTGCTGAAAGGATAGAATTGAGGGGAGGAAGAAGGGGAGATTTGATGGAGCAGGAGGAGCGCTTGTCAATCAGCCCAAGGACGAGCTCGCGAAAGGTTGGACTGGGCTCGGAAAATTGGGGAAATTTGCTCGCGCCCTCCCCCCAATTAGGCAAGATTGATGGTAGCTAGCACGATTCGGGTGGGCTAGGCTAAGAAATTGGTGGATAGGAAGAAAACCGACCTGACTTTGGAGAGAATCAGAGGAGGTTTTCTGTAAAGTGTTTTTACTCAGGATGGCGTTTTGGAAGCGGAATAAGTCTGACTTGTCAAGAATTTTCCGCTGATTCCGGATCTATTTTCGAAATCTTCGACATCCCGGCACTTCTCGGTACACCGCTTCGCCAGCGCCAAAGCGGTCTTGCTGGCGATGGAGGTTTTGAGAAAGCTCAGTATGTCCATATGTTGCATGATGTTGAGCTGCATCGTGCGCGGCAAGGCGAAGAAAACGATTACCATCTGAAATACAATTTCTTAGAGCCTCCAAACTCGTTTGAATAGGGTTGAAAAATATAGCTAGCACTCGATAAAAAAAACAAAGAGAGAGAGAGAGAGAGAGAGAGAGAGAGAGAGAGAGGGAGATCGAGAGAGAGGGAGATCGAGAGAGAGGGAGAGAGAAAGGGAGCTGGAAAGAGTAGTATTAGGGATATTTAAATAACGTGGTGACCGTCGTATTTGCCGGCCTTTTTTGATGGTTGTTAGTGGAATGCAGCTGTTGAAATTCTGAACAGGAAAAAGGGTGGAAAGCGCCGGCAATGGGCAAAATGTCATCGGGTGATTCAGAAAATTGGTTGATTTCTTCCGAAATTCCTCTTTCCTATAAATCGGTTTTCTGTTTTTCTCGGTGTAAGATTTTTTCACGTGTTCGTCGGTCGCTTCGATTCAAAGTTAGCTTGGGCTTAGCGTAGGATTGTTTGGAATCAGGCTTAGGCTTGGTCTTAGGCTTAGCTTGGACTTCCCCCAATGAAAACTTAAGATAATGAAAAACAACGAGCGACTTGGCTCACTTCCTCGATGGACTTCACACGCAAGTTGAAATCGTTGTACTTGTCAAAAAATCAAGCTCAAAACAATTTATTTCACTGGGTGCACTGCTTCATCGAGAGGCTGTCGACTTTTGGGCTGATGACGTTAGTATTCTTTGAGACTTGCTGCATGGAGGAGAGCTGAAAAAATTTGGGCTGTCGGAGTAGGGGATCAATATACCTGGCTGACCATGAACTTGGGGAGCAAAATGCGGCGAATGTTACGATTGGTGACCAGGAGACAGTAGGGTGTTAGCATACAAGCCAGGTCCATGTAGTAAAATCTAAAAATTGGGATTAAAGGGCCTGGCAAGTGGGGAAATCCTGAGTTCTGCCGGGGTGATGGGGTTATTCAAATAAAATCTTGAGTCAACACTGATAGCTCAAATCCGAATATTTGAAGGCAATTGAGTGGGTGGGTGAGTGCTAAGTGAATGGCAAGTAAATCTTCAGAGCGAGTGGGGATCGATAACTAAGCTAAGGAGATAAAAAAGAATCTCTTGCGCCTCAATACACCTCAAAATATTGAATTTAAAGCGAGTATTACGGTTTGAAATTTCTGCCCTTGTTTGACTAGATCCGGATGGCTACGCGCCGATCCAAATTGCACGCCACGTATCACAACCTTTGAGTGGCGTGTAGCTGGCGTGTCTGACAAGACCTAGTCAATACTAAAAATTACTACTCTCTTGAAAACGGCTAATAGCTTACTTTGGCAGTTCTTGGAGTTAAGGTAAGTTAAGATTCCTCAAAATAAGCTAAATTTCCTTACAGATATTCCGACAATTGCTGTAATGCCGCCCTCTCGTTCAGATATAAAGTGACGTAGAACTGTGCGGCGGCTCGTACCGTCTCCAGCAGCATTGGCCCCGATTGGAATATGGAAAACCAGAGAAACCGGCGTTCCAGTTTGGACACCGCTGCGTTCTAAAAAATCATGTATAGATCTCTCACATTTCTGTTCTCACCCCACTAATCAACTTCAACGAGATCGAGAAGCACACCCCGCAAATGGCAAATGAGGTGGCGACACAGGCGAGTGCTCCGAAAGCATTGAGCTAAAAGTTGAAACTTGAAGTTTCGTGCTACTGTTAAGGTATCACCTCTACGTTCCGCATATTAGGGCTCATCAAAATGATATCAGGTTTGTGGAGCAGCTCGGCTTTTGCTTCTCCATTAAAATAAAATGGCAAATGGATGGCTAGGGGAACGGCCCATTCCAGTAGGAAACAAAAGACGACGGTTGGTCGGGACCAGATCTAAAAAGGAATTTTATGACAATTGATTCCTACTAAAATGAAGCCTAAGCCAAGCCTAAGCCTAAGCCTAAGCCTAAGCCTAAGCCTAAGCCTAGCCTAAGCCTAGCCTAAGCCTAAGCCTAAGCATAAGCCTAAGCCTAAGCCTAAGCCTACGCCTAAGCCTAAGCCTAAGCCTAAGCCTAAGCCTACGCCTAAGCCTACGCCTAAGCCTAAGCCTAAGCCAAGCCTAAGCCATGCCTGAGCCATGCCTAAGCCAAACCTGATTCTTACCCTAGCATACGCTGTGGGCCAGGCAAAAATCACAATTCTATTTAAAGCAAACGGAATATGTCCCAAAAATATAACCGAACGCGTGACGAGCATTAATAGGTATAGAATTCTAAAAGCTGTATGGAATATAGATTTATAGCCTACGTTCCCGTCTGCTGCCCCGAGAAATCGACGATGTAGTACCGCGGAAATCGGAGACCGATTTGGATAAAAATGTAGTAGATGAAGTCGTTTGTCGACTAGAACTTGGGGTAGAGGTATATAAAGCCGATTACCTGCATCATCACCAGATCAAAGAAAGGTGATTGAAATATCTTATTAGTCGATCGTTTTTGTATAATCCGGCCGATAACATAGGCATAGAGGCACATGGAGGGGAAGGAGACGGTTAGCAACAATGCTTGGGCCAGGGGTAAGGTGGTTTCATGCATCGGTAGAGGCATCGCTCCCTAAATTAAAGATTTCTAAACCGTTTATCGCAAAAAGCAAAAATCGGAAAATTGAAAGAAAAACTGGCTGTTCAAGCGCACGTTCAGGGGTGGGCCGGGTACTCGTCCCAACATGTACACCCTATGGACGTTGGGAGCGCGCGCACTGCCTGCCCGTGGCGTGGCAGGCAATTTCCCTCCTTTACCGCGTGGGGCGCCCCTAGGCCCCTCGCCAGGTTGCACCTGTGGCTGACTGGTATGCGACCGCGTCTCCCAATCGGGAGGCCCGGGTTCGACCCCCGGCCGCGGTGAAATCCTTTGCTTTCTTGCCCAAAAACGCCCCTGAACGTGCCCTTTAAATGAACGTGTAAGGCACGCAAATATTTTTTATATAGTAGGATACGTCTTTAAAAAGCGGCTAGAAGCAATCAAACTGACAAAAAAATATCAAATAATTAAAATGCCAGAATATTTGCAGCGTGAACAAAATTTTAAAAAAAATTAGAAAAGTAAGAATGAATAGTAGAATAAGCACCCTTTTATAAGCCAACCCCGTGCTAAATGTTTTTACGAGGCAAAGATCCACGATCACCGTACCCAAAATCATCGGATTCCCACCAAAAGATTGCCCACCACCCGGAGGATCTCCCAAAAACAATTCCCATCCCCATTCTGTCACGTTGAATGGTGGCAAAAGTAATTAATACCATGCGGACCTGTCAAAAAAAAAACCAATTATTCACTGGGAATTCCTTAGGCTTCCACGGCACTACAATGAATGTTTTTATTTTCGGGTATTACGCCTTTTTTATTCTGGGCGTCTGTCAAGAAAATCATGTGCGGAATTGTGTAGCGGAAGTCTTTGAGGCGGTCATTATTTGGTGATTATGGCATATTTAAAGCGGGGTGATGCTCCTTCGCGGGGTTGGCAGAGTAGGTTTCGATCGTTCGGTTACGGTCACGGTCTGCTCCTGAAAACGCGAATTTTGCTGTCATGGGAAACTCTAGAATTTTACGGCAGCTTAGGACCAATTTTAGTATAGCCGAACGCAAAAAACCGGCAATCTCGAACGAAGGCTATTAAAATTGTGTCCCCGAAAATCCACTATGCATATGCTACATTAAGCAGTGACAGGGGGTAAAGTCACTACCCCGAAAAGTCACTACCCCGAAAGTCACTACCCCGAAAAGTCACTACCCCGAAAAGTCACTACCCCGAAATAATTTGCATGATTTTCATAGGAAAACCGCATGAAAACTGGATTTTTCCGGGAAAAACAATGCTATCATTTTTCGGGGTAGTGACTTTCGGGGTAGTGACTTTTCGGGGTAGTGACTTTTCGGGGTAATGACTTTTCGGGGTAGTGACTTTTCGGGGTAGTGACTTTCGGGGTAGTGACTTTCGGGGTAGTGACTTTTCGGGGTAGTGACCGGACGCCAGTGACAGCTATGGAACACTCCCAATTACGCGTTAAAGCCAAATTGCATTTGTCTTTATGGATTTCGGCGTAAGAATAACATCTCAATCCATATTTGGCGCGCGCGTCGCTGACGATACCTAGTCTTGAAGGTGGTAGATTAGAAACCTTGCTTGCCCCTTTAACCTCCCTTTCCGCCGACAAAACTTGAATTGCCAAGCCGTTTGTCGATATTATCAAACCAATTTCGAGTTACGTGTCGGTATTTTTAGTGTCGCTATTTGGTGTCGATATCGCCAATCCGTCGAACAAATATTTTTAAGCCTACCTCCGGCGCTATAACCTTTGGCAGCAACAGCGTCCGGATATTTGCATTTGCGGCAAGTAGGCAATAAGGCGGAATGGCGCATTGAAAGTCCATGCAGGGCCGTAACAAACCCAAATTTCGGGGGGGTCGACCCCAAAAATTTTTCACTAATATGACGAAAACTACAGCGCCGCAGGCAAAATTTTTGAAAACATGCTCGCCCCCCTCGCCCCCCCCTCTTACGGGCCTGAGTCCATGTAATAAAATCTAAAATCTGTGCATACAACTCGGCTAAGCTACGCCTTACAGTCTCTCGGAGGGCTGCACGAAAGCTGCTGGGTCGTTGAGAAATGTGGTGAAAATAAACTGCATCACTGCTCTCGTCAACTCCAAAAACATTGGAAGTGCTTGGAAGATAGAGCAAAACAATAGCCGGCGCTCAATTCGGGAGACTTTGGCTGTCTAAAAGCTCGTAGATCCGGATTTCGCGATTTCTCTCTCTCGCTCTCTCCCTCTCTCTTTCTCTCTCCTCTTCATAGACTTACAATTGCACTCAACTTCAAAGTTATCGAAAAACAAACGCTACAAATCGGAATTGACGTCGACACAAAGCCAAGTGCTTCAATGGCATTCGCCTAAAAACTTAGCCAATTACTTTGGGCCAAGAATTAATGAGTAGTTTGGGATATAGAAATAGTAGATGGTGTCGTTGATAAACTATATGAATGGAGCGTCGCTATAAACTACAAAGGGATACCTGGGCCAGCACCAAATCAAAAAACGGAGACTGAAAAATTGCATTGCTCTTGCGCTTTCGGCAAAGTTGGACCACGATAAGGAAATATAAGCACATAGAAGGGATAGAAAATGCTTGGACGAAATATTGACCGATAGGTAGTGTTGATTGCATTAATAAGAGGAATATACCGATCCCGTTCGATGCTCAAGTTTTTGAGAATGATGACAGCGCCGCGTGAAGGTTAAATCATGATGATACAGGTATCGCTGAAAGCAGCTAACTTTTGGATAGTTCACTATCGAGGATTTGTTCCAATGATTCTCGGAAGTCTCCGAATCATAAATAAGCGCTCTTTGCCCAAATTGGCAGTTGTTCAACACACCAACACCCACCGAGTCGGCCGGAACTCATAGTTATTGTTAGTGCCCGATAAAGTTCGGTGTCTTTGGTCTTCGCTTGCGTACAATATAGTCTAAAGTTTGGGGGCTGTTTGCTTTGTAGCCGCGGGATTGGACGGAATGCCGGAGTTATAGGACAAGGCATCGCTCTTCGGTTCTCCCTGGTTATTAGGCGGCTACCGTATCACCAGAAAAGACTGGAGAAGAGTCGAATAGATGCGCTCCTTCTCTCTCTCTCTCTCTCTCTCTCTCTCTCTCTCTCTCTCTCTCTCTCTCTCTCTCTCTCTCTCTCTCTCTCCCTCTCTCTAGCTTTCTCTTTCGCTCCCTCGCGCTCTGTCTTTCTCTCGCTCTCTCCTTCTTCGCAACCTCGCACGGAGCTGACCAAGAAAACAGTGAACTTCTTTGCTCGATAGCTATAATTTGCGTGCAATTTTTGTGGTGGTGTTGCAATGATCAGCAATTTTTGAAGGGCCAACAAATCAGTAGGCCAGAGAACGACAAACCATATTTATGAAAGTTTCTCGATTACAACGTTGTATTCCTGCGCGCCGATGGTGGCATTGGTTTTGACATCTCCGTGACGGTCACCGTTTGTGTCTGGAAAAAGAAGGATCAATTTGAACGGGGGAGGTAATAACTTAATTTTCTATAGAAGAACTCGAGACATGCCTCGGGGGCGACCACTTTGGGTAGTAATAAGCGTCGAATATTTGCATTGGTTCCGAGAAGGCAATAGGGTGGGATCGCGCACGGGAAATCCATGTAGTAAAACCTGAAAAAATATGTCGTGTTTCTTTGGCTCTATGTCACTATGTTTCTCTTTCGCTGCCTACGTTTCTCTCTCTCTCTCTCTCTCCCTCTCTCTCGCTCTCTCTCTCTCTCCTTTTCAAAGCAAATAACCTACAATGTTTCCGAAGTCGTCTGCAGCGCGGCAGGATTATCCAGGAGCGTGGTGCAGACAAATTGTGCTACCGTCCGAGCTAATTCCAAAAACATTGGCAGCGCTTGGAATATTGAACAAAACAACAGTCTCCGTTCCAGTTTTGATACTTTGGCACTCTAAAATCAGACATTACGACAAAAAGATCAAAATGTACTTACAGCCGAGCTTAATTTTAAGGATATCGAAAAGCAGATGCCACAAATCACGATCGATGTACATCCGAAACTGATAGCTTCGATGGTGTTAATCTAAATAGGTCGAAATGGACTGATTTCCGCTCTTATAAATGAGTACGCTTTTCGCACAGCTCTAGAAAATACTGGCTGCTGGCCAGCGTCAACAAATTAAGCGAGACCGAGCGGGGTACCTGAATTGCTGGCTGGTTGGGGCTCATCAACAAAAGTGACGTTTTGTTGACCATATCGGCTTGGCCGGCGGTTAGAAAAAATGGTATGTTCACGCTGAGGGGTAATATCCATTCGATGAGGAAACAGAGGAATACGGTGCCACGGTTCCAAATCTAGAAATAGGAAAGGCTGAACTACCTTAGTAAGTTGCATGAGTAAATTAAAACGAATCGAAGGCGGAGATACCTTAATTGCTATTAATTTCCAAAAATTATGGCATCTAATAGGCTAGGATATTCGTAATTCTGAACCAGAATATTGCTTTTAATCGGTTTTAAACCGCTCTTATTTGATCGTTTTTGTCACTGCAAGCTGTTTTGCTTATTTATTTCAATAGCTTAATTTTTCACTTGGAAAAATTCGCTTACAAATATTCCGCCACCTACCCTCCGATAAGCTACCGGCCACGCAAACAGTATCAATCGATTGACGGCAAATGGTATGTGACCCAAAAATAATACTGTACGTGTCGTCAACAGCAAGAAATAGGCAATCCTAAATTTGCCAGATCTGATGCCGTAATCGTTTGCCCCTACGTTCCACCACACGTCCCGTAAAACGGCAAGATCCAATATCGCGGAAAGCGGAGCCCGAATTGGATATAGATGTAGTAGACAAGGTCATTAATAAACTAGGAAAACCGATAATGGCAACGAACTCCCAAAAGATACCTGCGCCAGCACCAAATCAAAAAACGGGGATTGAAAAATCTTGTTACTCGACCGTTTTCGGAATATTTGAAGTACGATGAAACAGTAGAGAAGCATAGACGGGATGGAAAATGCTAGCATAAACCATTGGCCGATGGGGAGTGTCCATTCCATTAAAAACCTGGATACTTTGGTATGATGTTTTGGACCGATGCCTAGGCGTAGGCTTATGCTGAGGCTTCGGTTTATTTAGGCTTAGGCTTGGGCTTAGGTTTAAACTCAGGATTTGACTTAGGCTTAGGCTTGGTTTAGGCCTAGGCGTAGGCTTAAGCTTAGGCAGCAGTGCTCGAATGTCTGAATGTAAATCGTTAATCGCCGTTCTTCGACCGGACCCCGAGTTGCTCTTTATAGGATTACCGAAAGTAACAGCCTGGGTAAGCCCCGCAAAACTCGATTGAACCAGAAAATTTTCTGTTTTCTGACCGAATGCGCCGTGATTATGGCTATATGAAGATGATGGTAGGGGGTAATCGCTGAAAGGGACCAGATAGTCCCTAATCACTTAAAATATGCCATGAGCCAAAAAAAACCAATGAAATTACAGATTGCTGCAGAATCCTACTATATATAAAAAAATAGTGTTTGTGTGTGTGTGCATTTGCATGCAACTTCCGTCACCGTGTTCCAGTAGTATCTCAAGAGGGGAAGTACTTAGGGGTATGTTCGATATGTCATTAGGTGCGTCATGGCCTGGAGATGACTGCACACAGATTAGATTCTACAAAATATGATGTTTTCGAAATTAAAATTAAGTTTCTCATGGAAAATCGGACACCCCAATTTGTTAGGAGCAAATTAGCATGCGCCGGAAGTCGCGGTTGCCTATATAAAGGGACGGCAAGAGCATTTTTCATTTTTCGTCATCCGTCATCATCGGGAAAATTATGCAAAGCCAAGAATATCATTGGAGAAGACGGGGCCAGGGTTGAAAAGCCGCGAAGCGGTTTTTCAACCCTGGTTTACAGATTAATATTCCCAGTTCCCCGGATTATCCAAACTTTGCAATTACGCTTTTTCCTGAAAAAAACTCTCAATCAACGACTTTTAGAAGGCGCGACGTTTCCAGGATTAGCAAGTATTCCCACCCTAATCAGCGCACATATTTTCGGCCGCTATGCGGAGGTATAAAGTTGTAATTTGAAGGTGCGGATTTGGAAGATGAGGAACTAGATGACGTGCTCTTTTTCTCACTCTCGCGATCCCTCTCGCTCTCACTCTCGCTCACTCTCTCTCTCTCTCTCTCTCTCTCTCTCTCTCTCTACTTCACGAAGGTCATGAAAACGGAGAGGTCAGAATTTGTTTGCCCAGGTTTATGCAAATCCTTTATCAATCGATACATAAAACATAAAACATAGCCATATATTAAAGCTGTTACATTTGACAAATGATGCCGTAAACCCGTAAAAAATGACAAAAAGTCATTCAGTATATTTCCAGGCATCTCTCTCCATGCCCTCCTCACAGTGCTTCAGGAGGACGAGTCGGCGTTGATCCACATAGCTCGATTTGTCAAGGACCTAAAAAAATATTCACTCTTTTTATCAAGGTATCTAGGCCGTCAACATATTGAACTGTCGTAATTTTCATATTCTCATACCTTTTGCTTCAATTCAGTGACGTCCTGGCCTCCCCACTGGGCCTCCAAGAGTTCAGACAAGGCTTCCGTGGCCATTTCCAGGTCCTAAAAACAAAAAATCTTCTCGAACTTTTCAAAAAGTTATAGAATAGTTGTTAATATCGAACATCAGCGCACCCACCGTCTGGTTATCCTCAAAAATCCGTGTTTCGTTGTCGGGCTTCAAATAGTAGGCAAACGGGTAGGTGTACATGAGAGTGCGGCGGGCTTCTGTTAGCGCCTCGATGCCCTAAAGCATTAGCGAATTTTTATCAATATTGAAGCTATCGAGAAAATCATAAATAGTTTGAATTTGGCTTCTATAATGCTTAAACGCTCTATCAAAAAATTCCGGCCTTCTGCTTACCTTTAGAAAAAATCGCACTTCGATCCAAGACGCTCCGCCCTGTTGCATATCGTCCATTTTTTCGCGTACGACTTTGTTGAGACGCTCCTCAAGCCGAAGCGATTGTTGATGGTTAAGGTATCGATCGTAATAATGTAGATATCGTTCCAACGCCCGTTTGGCCATTTCTCGGATGTTGTTCGCTTCGATCACTGCAGCGTCTTCGAACCTAAGGTACGGTTTTTTATGCACTCTCCTATGACTTTTCGTAGATTTAATTTAAAGCAACAGATGTGGATATTGACATCTAGATATTGTTTTTGTTTTTGCGGCTTTATTCCTACTGAATTTGTCGCCCGCGCGGAATAGGGTTGCGTGCGTCGCGTTTTTTCGGATCGCGACACGCAACGCACTACGCTATGGACTTCCGAGCTGCGTCCCGGAATTCCAGTCAAAATTCTGTCCTTTAGGATTTTTAGGACGCGTTGCGTGTCGCGGTCATGAGAAAAATCATAGTCCTGCCTTGCCTGTCCCTTAAAACGAACACAACCAACGTACTTGTTACAAGAATAGCTCGCCATATGCTGCTTCCAATCTCCCATGCACACCCAGCAGAATTCGTATTTGCACGCGGCACTCCGGCAAGTCATATGGTTACATCCACCATTCTTCTCGATGGCGGTGTGGCATTTGGGGCAGTCTCTGGTGTGCACCCTCTTCCAGGTGTTCGTCTCGCTGTCGCTGCTCGAACGTTTCAGCCAGTTTCGGAGGACGCGACAGTCCACCGGACGGTGCCAGCTCTCGCCACAGCAGAAGCACCATAAGTGGTTGCAGCTGCACAGGATTTGGCGGGGTCCAGCAGCGGCCACCTGGAAGAGTTCAAAGATCGTTTAAATTTTTTGAACTGCATGAACTTGACGAAAAATTGTAAGCGCTTTTCGCTAGTTAATTGATTCCCGGGACGACCTTTGCTAGCCTACAGAGTTCTTAGAAACGATTGACTTAGTAGATGAACTGCTTCCGTTTGGGGGAAAGGCGGTCGGGCTGTTGATTGATTTCCTACAAACCCATCAAGTTGATATGACCTAAGTCCTAAGATCAAACCGCGAGATGAACTTGTTGAACTTCGGGTAGTTAGTTTTGTTGTTGTTTTCAATTCCCAAGAAAATCCCAGCTGAACTGCTTGAACTTGAGGAAACTCGATCACCGTCTAGTTAATTGATTCCCCAACAAAAACTTCTAGTTTGCCATCGCTTACCTTGATCACCTTGCCACATCCTGGAGCGGGGCACCATTTGATACGCCGATTCGCCTCAACGAAGACGTTCAGCGTCAATTTTTTGAACTTCTAGAAAATGTTGTTTATCGTTTTAAAAAGAAAATCACTTGCCTGAGTCGCCGGGCCTGGCCCAAGGTATTTTAGAGCTTGTTCTTCCTCAATTAACACCTTACACCCCGTGCCGATGCACTGAATTTGCGAGCATGAGCCGGAGCTGATCTAAAAGTACATAAAATCGTAAAATAAGATTTTCGTGTCTTTTCCTGAAAAAAATCTGCCAAAACCAAACCTTTGTCTCCAAATATTGCCTCCAGCAATTCGAGCAGGCCACATGGTCGCATCCAGGCCCCGATAATCCCGATACCTTGAAAATCAAATTCTTTGGTGAATTTGAAATTTTTACAAGCTATCCAAAGATTGGAAATTACTTCTAGGCAAATGTTGCATTCTCCATGTTGCGCCGAATTTTTGGAGTCAGACTCCGAGCTCGTTTGGGCGACGTTGTACTTCTCGAAAAACGCCTGCTCATCTCCACAGCCAAAAAATCTAAAAATTTCTTAGAAGCATACTTGCTACAATCTTACGCTTCCATCAGTTTCTCCTTGTTCCACAAGAATTGGGTCAGCAAAATTCGAGCGGTGCCAACATTTACTGGGATCACTGCTTGGACCTGAAAGGCGGAATTCAATTTTAGGTTTAATTTACATAAATTTGGGCTTTCATCATAAGGTTCCAAAAAAAAAGGCGCGGGGGGGTTTTTCCAATTAAAAAATTTTTTTTTTTAAATTTTGGAGAGAGGGGGGGAAGGTTTTTTTTAAATTTTTTGGGGATTTTTTTGGGGGGGGGGGGTTTTTTTTTTTTTTTTTAAAAAAAAATTTTTTTTTTTTTTTTTTTTTTTTTTTTTTTTTTTTTTTTTTTTTTTTTTTTTTAAAAAAAATTATTTTTTTTTTCTTTTAAACTTTTTTTTTTTTTAAATGGGGGGTTTTTTTTTTTTTTAAAATTTATTAAAAAATTTTTTTAAAAAAATATTTTTAAAAAAAAAAATTTTTTTTTTATAAAAGGGGTTTTTTTTTTTTTTTTTTTAAATTTTAAAAATGTGATTTGGGGGGAAAAAGGTTTAAAAAATTTAAAAAATTTTTTTTTTTTTAAAATTTTGGAAATTTTTTTTGGGAATTTTTGTTTTTTTTTTTTAATTTTTTTTTTTTTTTTTTTTCCTCTTTTTTTTAGTTTTTGGGTTTGGGGGTTTTGAAAGGGGGGCCGCCCGTGTTTTTTTTTTTTTTTGGGCCTTAAATATTTGTAATGATCAGCTCTTTTAACGTTAATATACCTCGCTTATAATCCCAATCATCTCCACATGAAGCTCATCCACTTCGAGCACTTTTCGATCCAACTCCCCGGGTTTCGGCCCGTAGGCGCGTTGTGTAAATTCGTCCATGCCGTCATTTATCGCATCATCCTCATTAGCGTCCATCTCTTCCTAAAAAAATAAGTTAATGAAATACATTTTGTATTTTTAATACCTCTCCAGAAGAGGTGGCTTCTGAACAGTCATCTTCGCTGTAAGCATCGTGATCCATCTCACCGTCAAAGGACATTGTCCTAAATCGATAATTTGTCATGGGCTAATATTAAATTTGTAGAATAAATATAGAAGGTTATCGATTCAAAACACTATAAATTGTATAAGCCAATTAGAATTGATATATAAATATTGAACCTAGAAATCAGCAAGGAAAAACGTTCACAAAAACTATTGTTCTCGGTCTGCTGAGTCAGTGCCGTTTCGCGGGAATTTTTCTACAAGCCAAGGAGAAAGAAAAGGAGAATCTAAAGAAGAATCGTGAAAAGGAAGCAAGAACAAAATCAAACACCATTTGGAGGCATGGATAAATCAACAGTGAAATAGCTGAAGACAACGAACAACGGTAAACACGGAAAATGAAGCGAGGATGCAACTTGCATTCCATTTGAAATCAACTCTTCTAATCGATTACGTGGCCATCTGCCGGAAAATTCGCGCATCAATAGTGCCATTTCTGGGCTATAGCATAGAACCGGTGATCCAGAATCCATTGATGCGCCAATAAAGTCTTAAAAGTCATGGAAAGTCGCAGATTTTCGACTTTATGGGAAGAAACCCTTAGCATTTGTACAATCTGAGGAGCTAGTAACCCGAGAATGAATAAACTCCGTGGTAAGCTTTAGCGCGTAAGAAAAATATGACCACACCGACCGTCGGGGGGGGGGGTCAAATTTATGCCTGTCGTAATAAAAAAATACCCCTCGTAATCAGAGCCGTATCGATCCGGACTTCTTGACTCACTCCCTTCCCGGCTCGCCGTTCTGATGGCATAATAGAGAAAAACTGAAAGGAAAAAGGAAAAAACTACGTGATCAAAATAACGTTTGAGAGCGACTCAAACTTTATAGTTTGATCATTAAAAAGGTGATTTTTGCTACGCTATTTTCTATCGGAGCATTTAATTGATTTCAGCTGCCTTTTTCAGCTAACCGACATTATTTATTTATCCTTGACACATAAAATCTGAGGTCGTTATTTTTTTTAATGGCTTGCTTGTATTTTATGTCAAGTGCTTTATTTTCCAAATTCCTGCTGGATTCTTATCTATTTCAATCGAGATTTTGTAGATTTTGCGAGCCCTTTTTGGCCCAATCCCAAACATTTCCCCACTCGCCACTGAATCAGCATTATTTTTGCCCAAATTCGGCCAATCAATGGCAGCATATGGTATTTGGCAAAACTCGTCGGGAAAGCCGGCGTACCTACCCAATTAGCGGAGGATTATATTTGGACGCCTATAAAGCGCCCAACTGTCTACCTGCCGGTTCTGAAACTCTGAAAAATTGTTTGTTTCAAAAAATTCAAAAAGATGTATTCCGAGCAGCAGCCGAATCGTTTGACGCATAGCTGTGTAAAGGAGACCTTTGGGGATTATCTTGTATTTTTAGGAAATCTCAACTGGCGCATTTCAACATCATTATTGGAAGGTAATTCTTTAGGATGATTGGAAACAGCAGAATTTTTTCTGAATTTCTTAGTTTTTCGTTTTCTAGCCCTTCTAAGATTCAACATACCTAATTTTTTGCAACTAATGCATACAAACTGAGGCTAAATGCGTTTTTTAAACCAGAAATTTAATATTTTACATTTTTGGTCCCTGTTAAAGACCTAACTATCGCCGCGACTCAGCTTTTGTTACAGTTAAAGCGAATCTCCGTAGTTCCATATTTTTTTAGCTCATCGGAAAATGGGCTCTGATCGTGTGGGGCGTCCTCCTTACCGTTGGCTTCGGCTTCAACATCTACCTGATGGTTACTGTCATCACGTATTAAACTATTTAATACAATTCATTTGATAATTTCAGTGGTCAAACTCAACTGAACCAGCAGCAAATCATTATGACTGCCATCGCCGTCGCGCATTCTCTGATCGTTCAGCTGATCGGGATCACAGCTTGTGCACTGGGGGTTCAGGGGATTATTCACAAGAACAAGGTCTACGTCAAGTACTGCTTCTTCGCCCTGGTAGGTGATAAATCTCTCTCTCTCTCTCTCTCTCTCTCTCTCTCTCTCTCTCGTTCTCTCTCTCCCTCTCTCTCGTTCGCTCTCTCTCCCTATCTCTCTCCCTCTTTCTCTCTCTCCCTCTCCTCCTTCCTTACCAAGCGCCTGTAAAGGGACTGGTCACCAGTCGAACAAGTTACGCGGTGAAAGCATAAACTGTTTTTCAGATCGCAATGATGACGGTCGTCATTCTTGGACACGTTGCACTAGTCATCTACACCCACAATTACCAACGGCTTATCGGATTATGTAAATTTTGAAGCCTCAAAAAACATTAGTTTTTAAGGGATCTGCCTCTGGATCGGCCTCCTCATGCTCATCATCCGCAAAAACCTAGAAGCGCTGGAGTACTGCGAGATGTGCTACTAAAAAGCTCCCTTGATCCGGATTTTACGCCTGTTTTTTTTTCTGTGCGGATAAAATGTATTGGATTTGCTTGGGAATGAAGAAACAAAAGGTTGGTACGAGTTCACTTTACCCACCCCCCGCACCGCCGATGGGTCTCCAGATATCGGTATTTTCGCTAATTTTGTCGGGTTTTTTGCAACGTCATTCGATAGAGCGTCGAAAAAAATACAAATCGTTTATTTTGAGCCAGAAATGACGTGAAATAAAAAAGTTATAGCCAATTTTAGCCAAAGCATTCCGGCTGGGGGGGGGGGTAAAGTAAACCGAAGCCCAAAAGGTTCCTAAACTAGACAGCGGCCGATGGGAAACAATGAATAGGATGAGAGCTTATTTTTCAATTTTAGGCTTTTAAAGAGATCAGGAAGGCCCAGGTGGATTAGGATAAGACGGGTCCTCGTTCGAAATTTAGCATAAATCTTTTCTGTCCCCTCCTGCCTCGACTCACTCTCTCCTCATTTTTTTGCTTTAGCATTCCCGGTTGGCTCGTTGCCAATTATCGATTAGCTCTCTTCTACTGGGCCTTCCTCATCGCTTTAAAATCAACGTTCTGATCGTGTTTTGTTGATCTGAAACCTTGAGATGTTATCTTGGGATCTTCCCCCACCCTGACCTTCAACCCGTTCCATCGCCTTTCCCGGCGTGTTCCCAGAAAAAGGGAACGTCACCCCGCTGAATAATTTGGTCGCGTGCGTCCGCGCTACGGTTTAGTGTTCCTTTTATAAAGTGGATATCACGAGATTGGCACGTCCAGATTGACACTTCATTTGTTCGTCCTATTTCGTCTATAGTGTTGTAATGGCGCCGACGTGGGGTCCGAATGGTATATGCCAGGGTTGTGTAGGTGTTTTAGAGTATTTTTAATATTGTCATTAAGTTTTAGGGCGATCCATACGGCGCCAGGACGCATAAGACATGGAAGGTGAGGCTTAATTTCTGAATTTCTTGAAAGCAGAAGTACAATTAAAAATCAAATGCTAAAATCATACTGCGAATCATGTTATTTTTTAGAAAATTTAGCTTACTCCATTTTCTTAAGAAGGTATTTCGGGGCCGCTTTTCCGAAAAAAAATATTAAGTTTCGGCTTACTGTCGACAATTTTCCAATAAGATTATTTTTTGCCTTTTCAACCTGTTTAGTGCTTTTCGAACTAATGCCAAGTTTTAGGGTCTCGGCAAATGGTTGATGATCATCTGGGGCGTCTTGCTCCTCATTGCCTTCATCGGTAACATTTTTGCAGTGTCCGGACCGATCCGGTTTACAATTTTTTTGGCTATAACAATTATGATAATCCGACCATCACGTAAAATCTTAAAATGCTTTTAGCACCATAAACGCTGCCGAGGGACAACCAGACGAGATCAAGCATCAAGATGTTATCTGGTTGTTCGAGGCCTCGTACGCGATGATACTCGGTGCTATGGGGCTTGTTGGATGTTTCCTTGGGATTCAGGGGATCCGTCTCAAGGAAAAGTCGAACCTTAAATGGGCCTTCATAGTGCTAGTCGGCTTGCTCAGATAAAAATCGCTTAAGTTTTCTTTCAGTCAATAATGTTCGGCTTTGCGGCGGCTGGCTGCTTGGCTATCGTTTTCGTTTTTGGCGAAACGGACTTCCTGTTTAGATTAGGTATTCAACAACCATGATATACCTGGAATACCATATTTTTTAGCGATGTGCGCCTGGTTGGCTCTAATCTTGCTGATCGTCTGGAAAAATAAAAAAGCGCTCGACCGATGTGATAAATGTTACTAAATAGGGCTCGTACATATTTTTTTCTGTAATTTTTATTGTTTAGAAATGGTTTTTGTGGTTCGAAAGTTTCTAAACGCCGTGCTAGTGTACCTATGCGTCCTTTATTCAGCGGGCCGGGTGTTGACGAATCCGGTAACGGAGATAAATAATACGCGGGAGCATCGCTAGTCTGCAGAGAAAAAAATGTAAATAAATTAAGGATGTAAATATTATACGGAACTTATTTCGAAACATCTGAAATTTGAAACCTTAAGCAAGAGAGCCTTGAAAACAGAAGTCACCCAAGATAACAAACCGGAAATTGGGCGTATAAAGTACTACCTCGACGCATAGTATTGGCATTTATTGATGAGCTGCGCCCTGTACGGACCGATCGCTTTCCTGGCTTGGAAGTCCTGGAACCAACGGGAAAAATAACCCTAATTTCCATTTTCAGACCGCCTTCCGAGGAGAACTACATTTTTGAATAAGCCTTGGCCATTTCACGATGTTTTTCTGCGGCATTTTGCTCAAAAATTTTGACAACATTTCGGGAAAGCACTTGTGACCTGTATGATTTTTGCATGTTTTGGTTCTGCCGTTGGAACTTTTGCTCTTATTTTCTTCAGTAAGGTTTTACGATGTTTTTGGGATCAAGATCCCACCACGGCCTTAAACCCGTTCTATCCGCCCAATACATCCCATTATTCGGCCCTAGCCGTGAATAGAAAGCGCAAAATTTGGTCGCTCGGGTTCGCGGAACGGTTTAGTGTTCGTTGTATAAATCGGAGGAGCAAATGGGCGTTTCCGCCAGATCGACTTTCCAACCGACGGAAGTGGGATTGGGTAATGGCCTCATCTAGGGACCCGAATGGCGTTTGCCCGGGTTGTGTAGGTGTTTTGGCTACGGTTTACTTTACCCCCCCCCCCCCAGCCGGAATGTTTTAGCTATAATTTTTTATTTTACCTTATTGTAGGCTCCAAATTAAAACACTTAGTATATTTTTTGACGCACTATCGAATCACGTTGCGAAAATCCCGACAAAAAATAGCGAAAATACCGAAAACCTTGAGACCATCGGCTGTGGCAGGGGGTAAAGTATACCATTACCGGTGTTTTCAAGTAGCTTAAAACTTTTGTTAAATTTTAGCATAATCCTTATGGTGCCCGGACGCATACTACATGTAAGGTGAGGCTGTTTTTCCAATTTATTGATATAGAGAGGATTGCGGCTGTAGAGCGCGAAAATTTAATCAAAATTTGTTTTCATCTGATATAGCTAGCTATGCATTTTTCGAAGACAAAATCCATTTTTGCGTGAATTGTTCAGTGTTTTGATCCATATTTTGGCGCAATGATATCACCAAAGCGAAAGTGCATTTTTTAAAGTAAGTCTTTTTTTAGGGTTTCGGCAAATGGGTGATGATTATCTGGGGCGTCTTACTGCTTCTCGTCTTCACCGCCAATATCATTGCGGTGTCCGTGACGATCTGGTTTTGTGTCCTTAATTACCAATCACCTTATTTTCAGGAAGAGGTTCAATGCCGGGCCGCAGCCACAGGAGATTCAGCACAAATTTGTCATCTGGCTTTACGAGGCTTCGTACGCGATGATACTCGGGGTCATGGGGCTTGCTGGATGTTTTTTGGGTGTGCAAGGGATTCGTCTTCGAAAAAAATTATATTTGAAATGGGCTTTGACCGTACTGGTACGTTATTGTTCAGGCCTATATTTGAAAATTCAGCAAGGCGAAGTTTACGGATGTTGTTAGACAATAATGCTCTTCTTTGGGGCAGCCGGCTGCGTGGCGATCGTCTACGTTTTTCGAGACACTCCCTTCTTGTACAGATTATGTAAATACCGACCCGATGGCCTTCAGTTATTGAATTTTTTTTAGCGCTGGGCATATGGTTGTCACTAGTCCTACTAAGTGTCTGGGAGAACAAAAAGGCGCTCGAGCGATGCGAGAAATGTTATTGATTTTTTTTGGGTGTCGAATTTTTGTATAAATTTTGTTGGAATAAAGGGCTTTGATTGGATGCCTTAGGCCTACCCAACCAGCAGTGTTTTTGGGCGATATTGGATAACGTAGATCACCAACTAAAATGGATAGATTAGGAATCAAATCTGAAAAATTGACAGCTCCAAATCCGAAATTTCTATCGTACTCTCACTCTCTTCTCTCATTCTCTCTCTCGCTCTCTCTCTCTCTCTCTCTCTCTCTCTCTTTTTTCTGTTTCTATCCCCCTCTCTCTATCGTTTGATACTATCAACTATAATAAAAAAGTAGTGGTGTCTGTCTGTCTGTCATGTCCCAGATTCAACTCGAAGGGGAAAGGAGCTAGAGCTTAGGTCTCTTCGGATTCGGATAGAGCGCCGTCAGAAACCCCTAAACTGATAAAAAAATTATAAAAAAGTTTTGATTTAAACTATTAAAATTTCATTTCTTTTTCTCTCATTCCATCCGGTCGGTCGTTATTTTCGTTTTTTAAAAGGATTTCGGCTAGGGGGGGTATCTGAAGCCATCAGGAAGGTATTTAGGTAGTTTTTGAAGGGGATTTCAGCCATGGGGGGTATCTGAAGCCATCAGGAAGGTATTTAGGTAGTTTTTGAAGGGGATTTCAGCCATGGGGGGGTATCTGAAGCCATCAGGAAGGTATTTAGGTAGTTTTTGAAGGGGATTTCAGCCATGAGGGTTATCTAAAGCCATCGGGAAGGTATTTAGGTAGTTTTTGAAGGGGATTTCAGCCATGAGGGTTATCTAAAGCCATCGGGAAGGTATTTAGGTAGTTTTTGAAGGGGATTTCAGCCATGAGGGTTATCTAAAGCCATCGGGAAGGTATTTAGGTAGTTTTTGAAGGGGATTTCAGCCATGAGGGTTATCTAAAGCCATCGGGAAGGTATTTAGGTAGTTTTTGAAGGGGATTTCAGCCATGGGGGGTATCTGAAGCCATCAGGAAGGTATTTAGGTAGTTTTTGAAGGGGATTTCAGCCATGGGGGGTATCTGAAGCCATCAGGAAGGTATTTAGGTAGTTTTTGAAGGGGATTTCAGCCATGGGGGGTATCTGAAGCCATCAGGAAGGTATTTAGGTAGTTTTTGAAGGGGATTTCAGCCATGGGGGGGTATCTGCAGCCATCAGGAAGGTATGTAGGTAGTTTTTGAACGGGATTTCGGCTATGGGGGGTATTGATGGAGGTGGGAAAGGATGTGGTGGAGTGAGACATGTAGGGTAGCCCGAAGGCCAGATGGTTGCAGTCGCGAAGCGACTGTAACCATCTGGTGTATATCTAATTTTACATGTAAACAACAACGCCATAAACACAAAATAGTGCCAAACAGCCACAACCCCGGCTGCACCCCATTATTATGGGATTCCGCCCGATGACCGGGTTAGGCAAGCAAATTTACGAGTAAACAGGTCCAGGCTGTATCTGGTTTTTTTCTGACCCATCGATTTTCTATCGGCTGTATAACGCTATAGAATCTGCATTTGATTCCCTTGATTTGTTCCATAAGGTGTTTTCACCAGATGACGTACCTCGAAATGACGGCGACAACCCGGCCGGCAGAGCATCGTTGCGTAATTTTGGATACTGTATTAATGGCGGGTTTTAGAAACTATCAACGCGGGAGGTCAACTTTAAGCCATGGAAGGTAATTTTGGAGCGATGTTCGGCTCTAGAATTTTTATAGTACACCGCACAACTCGTACTGACGGTGTGGCCGGTTTTCCTGGGCTTCGGAATCGTGTTGAATTTGCTGGCGTTGATTGGGGTGTTAAAGTAAGCATAAAAAGGCCACTTTGGGTTTTAATAGTTGCAACTTTGAGCCCACTCGATTGAGATAAATGCAACCTATATTTTTTTTAGAGAACCAGCCCTCGGAGGAAGGCATGAAAATGTGGTCTTGTCGGAAATCATTTTCAACGTTATTCGAGGAATTTTCGGCTTTGCCGTCGCATTAACGGGAGCTCATGGGATCTTTTCAAAGTCTTTAAGAAGCCTTGAATATTGTTATTTTGGCACAGTGAGTTATTTTTAACACAGGTCCACTACAGTCTATTTAGTTTTACCTGCTGGTTTTTACGTGCATTGGCCAGCTGGCGTTTGTCTGCCTGCTGGCGCAGTATTATTTTTTGGCAATGATAGGTCGGCAACCTTTGAAAGCTTAAAAAGCTACAAACGTTCTTTTAGCACTTTTCGCTCTCTGGCTGTCCTTTGTGATGTGGGTGCTGAAGAAGAATATTATGGCTTTAGAGATTTGTCAAGAATGTTATTGAATAAATTGAATCGAAGAATTTTTTGGTCATTTGTTTCCGGCCCTTTTCGTTTTCCGAAATTCCCCAAAAATCACGGTGGGGGCTAATTTTTCCAATGTTTTCTTCTAATGCAAAACATCTAGAGAGAAACAGAGAAAGAGAGAGAGAGAGAGAGAGAGAGGGAGAGAGAGAGAGAGAGAGAGAGAGAGAGAGAGAGGGAGTGAGGTGGCGCACCTCAGGCACCCAGACGGTTTTCTGACTCATCGCCTAAGCCTGGGAACCAAAAATCGCGTCCAAAGGATAGGATTATGCGCGTTCTGAAGACGGCCGTATATTGATTGTCTGTAGAGGGACCCTACAGCTGTACCGGCCACAAAACCGCGCCTTCTCTGCTCCTGAATCCAAAATCTCTTGCCTTTCAACCTATTACACCAAATTCATTCTGGCGGCCTAAGCATCACTTGATTAAACCGATTTGACTGATGGAGTTTTTGAAAAGTTGGCTGGATCACAACGAATGCAGTAGCGTAAGTAACGTTTAAATCAAGAGAGCATATTTCGTTTAGAAGGTCTGTACGCAGCTTACCTTCTGGAGTCGGGTAGGTCCTGCAAGATACTTCAGGAGCCGGTAGCCGATTTAGGTGCTTCTTAATCTTTCGCTCAGCACCGCAATTTCCTGCTCGTTCGTATTGATCATGGTGGTGGTTTATGAGTCGGTTTCAATAAAGAAAATCTGGCGTATAACAAGAAGCTATCGTGCCACCGAAAAATCTGGAGATTTAGGCGTCTTAACCGCCTGGAAGATCCACATAACCTTTCACAGCGATTCCCGAAGCTGTTACTTTGGAGCTTGACGGTGTTCTCCGCCTGCGGAATCGGTGTTTTTATTGTCCGCTTTGACGAGCCTCGCTTTTTCATGATCTCCACTATGCTGCCGGTAAGTATAGAATCGGCCACGTATTACATTTACAACCGCCTAAATTGTCATAAAATTCATGAGCTTCTTCCAGTAAGCAAAATTTAACTTAGTGATCATGCCGAATCGAGAAATCCAAATCCTTTTCTTCCAGATTCCGCTAGGAAATTTCGGTAATGATCATTTTGTCATCCTCGAATTTTAGGCCGTTGTGACTACGATCGAATGCCTGATTCTAATCATGCGCCTAGGCAACATTCGCGGATACCATTTGCAAGATGAGGACGAGGATAACTATTACAGTAAGATACTTGCCGAGGAACAAGCAACTTTATCCACAACCTCTTTCAAAATGCCATTTTCAGGTTTGCAATGGATTATGCGACTTACGATGTTCTACGTGTTTGCGACGATAAAGCTGTAATAACTGCCTTTACGCCTCCAACTTTGCGCATTGAATAAACGTCCAGAACCCAAATACCATCATAGACCCCAGAAAATTCAAATACCATGTCCGGGGCTTGAGCTGTTCGCGCCATTTTCGAATGCCTCGCTGCCATGTCGCGAAAGTGCAATGCAGTTTTTGGGCGTTTTTTGGGCTCTTTTTGGGGCCCTGGGAACGATGTTGCTGGACCCATTTGGGTAGTCAGACCCTCGCGCGCCGCACCACTTTCCCCCTCCCGGTTCGCCCAAATACCATTATTGATTTCTTGGAAGGTCTGATACATCAAATTCACTCCGTTTGAAGATATGTCGAACCAAAACAAACCTTTGTTACGAATAACATTAACCTCATGGACGCTTGCCTGGCCCACCGAAGACGTTTTTATGTTGGGCCGGCTGAATTACGCTCTTTTCTCTGTTTTCCTGAACGCGTTCTCTACGGTGCACGGTGTATTGTTGGTACGTAAACGACCGACTTTATAGTGAAACAACAGAAACTTTGACTTGACATTCAAATGGGCCTCTGCCGCTACCGCACCGCCGCGCTGCAGCTGAACTGCGTAAGTGGAGACACCTTCAAAATATTATAGTATTTTCTCGCTTGCTAAATTCAATAAACACATTTTAGAACCTACATGTCAGCAGCTACTACAACTACTGGTTCATGGTGGGTATTTAATAAAGGTTTATCAAGGGCGTAACAGACGAAAATTTGAGAATTAGGTTACCTTGCCACAAATACCTAGACATCGTTTTATGGGTTGTAGTTTCAAAAATTCAAGGCCAAGGTGCATTAATCGTAATACCAGAAAAAGTGCGAAAAATGGTTCTAAGGCTGTTTTTAGCGCTTCCTCCACGTCTTCCTCGGCTCCCTGCTCCTCACCTCCGTATTGGTCACCCTAGCTGCTTGCTTGGTGTACGTTTTAAACTTTTCGGTGTATTTTGGGCAATTTGTAGCATTCTGAAAGAGCACTTCTGGCCCTACAAACACATGCAGACGGGCTCTAGCCCGTACATCATGAAGATGATCGCATTTGTCGGACTTTTTGGGTGCTTCTCGACCGGGATGAGCCTGTTTGCTATCAACATCCGCGAGGCGCAAATTCTGATCTTTGTCTGCGGATTTGCGGTTAGTTGTTGGTAAATTAAGGCATTAAAACAAAAAAATGAAAAAAGCAAAATCTAATGTAAGTTCAGTACGCCGATTGAAACGTCGCTGATTTCTAGGGTTTTGCGCTTGCTTGGTTTTTAGAAGTGTCGACGATTTTTCGATTTAAAAAATCGTAGAAAACCGACCCAAAAAAAATCCGCGAATAGGAAACCGTAAAAAACGATAATTAAAAAAAATTCCACTGCTCCATTTAGGGAATGATGGCCTGCGCCGAAAGCTTGGTGCTCGTTATGCGCGAGTCAAACTTCAGCGGCTGGAACGACCTCGAGGAGGGGGAAGGGAACTTTCGCCGTAAGTTATCGATGTATTTTAGAGCTAGTTATTACCTCGAGAAATTATGAAACCCCAAAATTAGCTTGCGTTGCAGGCGCCAATGTGCTTCTCCGCCTCTTCGTCATCATGGTGGTGATGATCAACTACCTGATCGTCAAGTCTTGCCCATACTGTGGAAGTTATTGAGGTCATAGAAAGTCTAACTTTCCTCACCATCTCTTGCTATCTCTATCTTTCTCTCTCTCTCTCTCTCTCTCTCTCTCTCCCCCTTTCTCTCTCTCTCTCTCTCTTGCTGCTTCTTCATGTTTCGCATAAAGTTCCTAAGGTCATATTTTTAATTTTCTGGAAGCAGTTTCGATTTCCTATTTTTGACGTTTTAAGATTTTCATTTTACAAGTCTTGCTTTTTATGCCGAATAAACGTTTTAAAAGAAACCAAAATCACACCCGAATTTTGGAGACTGCTTTGTTATGTCCCCGGCCATCTTAATTACATATACCAAGCGCCGGGCGAATCATGCTGCCCAAATGTTTTGGGGGGAACAGTTTCTGGTGGACTGCAGTCCCGGAACAAATTGCTATTTCGTGCCCGAATAGACGTTTTTGTGGATGGAACGGCAGCCAGCGCTTGGCCACCATGAGGGCGGCATTGAAATTTTGCATAATTGTGTAAGTGCGTAGCCTACGTAGCTTTTTTCATTGCTCGTTTTTTCTAGGTGTTGGCCGAAACCAACTTCAGCCACCGGAAATGGAAGGTTCATGGGTTTAGAGTCTTCCAGTTGTATTGCTTTTAGAAAATTTTCATTATTGTGGAAGTGATCGGTTTTGTGCTGTGTATGATCTCGCTTGGGATCTGCATTCTCGGGTTCATCGGGTAGGTCAATATTTTGGCGACAGGCTTCTTGGTAGCAAATACTTCGCTGTCAGCGCCGTAGTGATCCTAAAGGGGCTCGGAAGCATTAAAATGCACGATTAAACTCGAATAGATATCGAAAGCAATGCAGAAATCGGTTCTGGACATTTAACGCGTGGGGGGGGAAGAAGCAGAGTTTTGTTATTAGTTCCGTACGGCCCATCATAAAAAGAAACCATTTTTATAACATTTAAAACGGTTTTTAGACATAAAAATTTTCGAAAATTTGGATGACCGAAAAAGGTTGAAAGGCTTCTTAAAACCTTCTTAAATATTTCTAGTAATTGTTAAAACATTAAAGAAGCTAGAAAAACATTCAATGTTACAAACGGGTGAAAGAAAGTGAAAGAAAAATAAATAGGTGAAAAACAAACGGAGTCGCAAATTTCGATCTCTAGTATAGTTGCGGATCGATTCTATCTTTCCTAGCCCCTTTAAACCCAAAATTCAGAGTTGCCACAAGCGACATCAAAAGGAGCAAGGGCTCGGAACCGACAGCTGACGAAGTCGCGATCGCGATCCTGGTGGCGTACACCCTTTGCGCCATTGGGGAGGCCATTTGCTGCGGCATCGCCCTCCTTGGCGTCGGCACCAAATCGCCGGCCCTGCTGTGGATCTTCCTTTTCTTCAAGGTAAAAATAGAACGTAAAAGGTTGCTTACATTGTCGTTGTTTAAATTAGATTGACAAATCATCTTTAGATTTGCGACATTATCGGCTGGATTTACATCTTTATCGGCGCGCCAAAGTGGCACCATAAGGCGACAGCTGGTAAGGGGGTTTTCCAACGAATTTTCCAGATGTTTGTTGTTTTTTATTAGTTTTAAATTGTCTAGAAAGAGTACTGTAAGTCTTGCGAATGCTTAATTTAGCCTTCTACGCCATCTTTACGCTCCCCGAGGTCTTCCTGGCGTATACGAATGTGAAGGCGTTGAGGGCTTGTCCGAGATGCTACTAAACGAGTTGATCTGGCAAATTGGAGCTGACAGTTTTTTCGGATTGCTTTTTCTATTTATTATTCAAGCATTTTTACTAGATTGAATAAAAGAACGTGGCTAAAACTTCACAAACTAAATTCTCAAAAAGCTGGAAAAAATTCTTAAAACTCCTAAAAACACTATATTCAGGGAAACGATGCTATTTTTGTGCAGCTAGTTTTCCCTGCTGTACACCGGATTATTAATTGAACATTAATCAAGTGCCATATGTTGGAGCCGAGAGGAAAGCAGACGCTATAAGAGGATAAACAAGAACATCCGGATGTGCAAATCATAGAAACTCTCTGCTATGTCACGGGAAGGCAACGAGACTTTGCATCGCTGCGTGAGTAATTTTTTGGCGGTTTTTTTAAAGTTGATTAATTTTAAACAAGCTATCTGATATTTGCAGAAACTCGCGGAGCACAACTACCGGCACCGGAAATGGAAGGTGGGTGTTCAAAGAATTTTCGCCACAATCTGATGTGTAACCTACTAAAAAATACATACAGTGGCGGTCAAAAGTTTATAAAATTTCTTGTTTTGACGATAACTCGGCACCCGTTTGCATAAGAAGTCCCATATTTGGCATACATGTGCATAAAGTGATGCAGAATCCGATAGCAATACTTTTTTTATTTGAAAAACGTACAAGGCAAATATTTAGAAGTTTTACGAAAAACGCTGCGTCAAAAGTTTATAAAATTTTGTTTAAGGCCCTAAATATAGACGATATCAGGAGAGAATATTAAATTGGACTTAACCGTTCAATTTACCCTGATTAAGCGAGTTTTGTTGCAATCTTTAGCGATTATTCCTCCTCGTCGAAGTTATCAGCTTTCTTGGAGCAGTAAGCCTGACTGGGGATTTACTGTACAGGTAAGTCCACTTGATATCGAGCTTCCTAAATTCCTAATTTCCAGGTTTGGCTGGGTATATCTGGCGGAAACGTTCAGCAAACAAGACCGCCTCTTGCTCGTGATTTTCGCAGTCATGGCCATGTACGGAAACGCTATTTTCGTGGTGATGAAGCTCGTCGGGGTCTCCAAGAAATACCCAGAGCCACTGACCATATTTTTTGTCGTTGGGGTATGTAAAAATTCAAAAATATTTATAATTTTTTTTGACCTTGCAAATCTCCTTTTGGACGTGGCTGCTCAGCGAGGCAAAGTCTGAGTGGGGCTTCAGGACTTCCGGTAAGGAAAAATGAGCTTCAAAATTGCGTAGAATAGCGAAAAATCTCAATATTTAGTTTTCAACACCTTGATTTTATTCCCGGAGCTGCTGCTAACCGGTATCAATCTGAAAGCCATGCTGGAATGCCCGAGATGCTATTAAATTTATGTTCGAAGTCAATAAATGTTTTTTTAACGATAGCTAATTTGCTAAACACCTAAATCAAAAAAAAAATCGGCTATCCAGTTAGTATTTCTCAACTCGAAAAATTCTTAACACTTTTATTTTCAATTTAGAAAAATTTATTGAAAATTTAAAACGTTTTTGCCTAACGATCTCGTTTTTTTGACTCTTCTAAGTTCCTTTAGAAAGTCTAACCAAGCAAAGCAACAAGAAGTCCGAAAAGTTTCATTTCTTTCAACATGCACTTGATTTCCAATTATAACTTTGTTTTGAGAATGATTCGAACGTTGTTTGACTAGGCAACGCTTCACCTTCAGTTTGTGGTTGCACAATATTTCTCGAGTTGGCAAGGACAGACAATCATTTACTCTGAACCCCTTGAATTTGATGGCTTCCCCAACCGCCGAAATTGACGATGTAGCTGGGGACAATTTTGAAGTTCCCAAAGATGCCATGGACTACTCGGAATATGGGAATTACGTTGTGCATAGCTGTGTAAGGTTTAGATATTTTTTGACTAGAAAAAGCAGTATTTTTGTAAACCGCGGATTTAGGACATCGCATCAAATCGCGTACGTTATCTCTTCCTGAAGGTAAGTTTTGCTTAAATGAACGAAAACACATAAATTTCCAGTTCGGCTTCTTCGCTTCAATCGTGGTGCAAGGACTGACAATGTTAGGATACATCGGTTGGATAATGGGATACATGTGAGTGGATTCACCTAGGATTTTGGTGCCTTGACTTTGGCCTTAACTAGGCAATAATCTAGATTTTCATAGCGCGATTACGATAATTTTAGTGGCTACTTCGCAGGGCCTGGAAGGACTCACTCGGGCCAATTCGACGAAGCGGTCCAAATTCTGAACTTCCTGACGAAAGCCGGGGCGTTCGTTATGTTTGTGGCATTCCTGGGCCTAGCCGTGCAAGGCGTCTTTCTCAAACGTTCGACGCTTCTGTGGATGTACCTGATTTTTCAGGTAACTTTACGTTTCCGGAATTTTAGCATAATATTGCGCATTAGGTCACCTGCACCCCATTGACGATGCCAAGTCGTCTAACCTGGTCGTACGGATGGGCGTATCATGGTCAGATTCCGTATCTATCGGTACTGCAAGGTAAATCCATCGATACTGTACTCTCTCAACTTTCAGTAATTAATTACTGACGAATGGTTGCTTTCAGAACTCGGTCTTTCGCTCCATTGCTTCTCCGCCATCTTGGCTTTCCTCAACATCAAGGCGATGGAAACATGCCCGCAATGCTACTGAACACATCTATGTGTTGAATCCACTTGTTAAGCCAATAAATCTATCTAAAATCTATCGAGCTTCCGGCTCACGCTCTCTATCGCTACCTCCCTCTCTCTCACTTACTCTCTTTCTACTCTCACGTTCGCCCTCTCGACGTTTTGTCGCCAAAACCAAGCTTCCAACAGGGTCTATTCCAGCATTTCCCAGCTCCTTTAAAAACCACATCACCATTTCATTATTCTCCGCTCAAATTTTATTATTAAATGACTGGCCAGGCGGCCGATTAGTCACTTTCCCCCTTTGGTTGACTGTCGCCAAAATTGCCCTCCTATTTCATTTCCAAATCGATGAGCTACCCAACTGCCGAATTTGACGATGGCTTCCTGCCGAATTCAGGATATGATGACGTAGAGCCTTCTGAATCCGGGGATTACGTTGTGCATTCCTGCGTAAGGGTTTCGAAGCTTATAGAGTTAATTTTTAGGAGCTGTCTACAAATCGCACTCGGCACCGGTTCTTGAAGGCAACTTTTCGTCTGTGTATTATTTTTTAGTGTCCAGTACCGTAATTTCCCATTTGCAGTACGGCTTCATTGCTGCACTGGCAATTCAGGGTGTGGTGCTGCTGCTCGGCGTGGCCTTTTTTCTGTTTTACATGTGGGTAGATTAGCTAATAAAATTAGATTTTGATAAATAATAATTAGTAAATTCTCTAAAGCACATTTCTGACGTTTTTTAAACTTGGAAATCGAACCACCAATTCCTAGCGTTTGAAATCATAAAAAATTTCCAGGCTTTTGGGCAACAAGATTTTAGAGGGTACGTCCTCTACAAGCTTGGCACGGATGCAACATCGACACCAGTGGACATGCAGTCGGCAACGTTGATCATAATTGCCATCCTTGTGGCCGGAATTATTCAAGGCGTTTTTCTTGGTTTTGGCGTGGTCGGCACTCTGCGCAAGCGCCCCGCGTTGCTGTGGCTGCACTTTGGTTACTGGACGGTGAGCGACCGATAGCAAAAATAGTCGTATTCGAAATGCCGACAGGAAAAGATTTCCATTCCCCAACACCTGACAACTATAATCTTTCCATCGATCGAACAGGCGAAATCCCCATATCCATAACCGCCACAAGGTATCCGAGATCCCCAGCTACTACCGAGAGGTCCCCCGTCGGGTCCGATTTTTATGATTTAGGTACCCATCGAAAGCTCTCGAAAAGGCGAGAAAACAGGCACTTTTCGTTTTCTAGATTAAGTGAGGAAATTGTAGATTTTTATGCCTGAAAATGGTCAAAAAAGGCTGATTCAGGCGCGAACCGCTTGTTAAATGCAATATCACTACAGAAAAACACGCGTTTTCTTTGCAAAACGCTTAATATCAAGAAAATGTTCAATAGTCTTGCCACTACTACGCAACCAGCTTATTTTCTCGCCTTTTTGAGGAATCATCTCAATACGAGCTTTCTCCTGACCGCCAGGTCGGGGAGGCGGAGGGGGTTTCGGACACAACAAAATCGCCGTCATCATGAGAACCTGGAGAGCGAAATGATTTGAAATGATGAAATAAAATTCGTGATTTCGATTGTCGACATTCTGGTTGGCAGAACCTGCCTAACGGGCTTTCAAATGCCATTTTTCACAAATTTCTCAGTGACCGGAATTCCTCAAGGTTCGTTCGTACTTGTCGGGATTTTTCCTGTCGGTATGTTAAGTGCTGCCTTAAAAAGCGGGGTTTCCTGCCATCACAACCCGTCCGGCTCAAAACTTCATTTAGGTCGGCTTCCTCATGTCAGCCTTTCACCTAGTGTATCTGGTTGTCATACTGGCACACGGGCCTCAAGCAATTCACATTCTCATGGTTCTGCCCGTGCTCGGTAGGTCTGATCATCGGGAACTTCCCCATCTTCCAGTCGTGGAAATTCTGCCCGCTTTGATCGTCACCCTTCTGACCTTCTTCAACATCAAGGCGATGAACACATGCCGAGAATGCTATTGAAAAACCGATTTTCAATGCTTGTTTTGTGAAATAAACGATTGGCTGGGTGAATCGATTTAAACATGGTATTTGAGATTCTGATGTCAAAATTCATTTGGTCGAAACCTTTAATAATACCGAAATCTTCAATAATGCCGAAAATCCATAAAGTCGGAGGTTTGAACCATCGTATTTTTCCGTGTTAACGTAGGTTTTGGATTGTTTGATATTTCGACATCATAAATTGGGGAATCTTTCATAATCTCGCATTTTCATAATCTCGCATTTTCAGAATTTCGCATTTTCAGAATCTCGCATTTTCAAAATCTCGCATTTTCAGGATCTAGCATTTTCAGGATCTAGCAATTTCAGTCTCGCAACTTTTCCAAGGGCTTTCCAACGGTTCCAAGAATTCGACGAATGATGATTGATCACAGAATAGGCGGATCACACCAAATTAATCGAATGTCTGGGCCACTAATTAAAGGAATTCGAGATGGTCAGATGCGTCGTACGCCTCGTCGAGGCCAGGCTGGGCTTGGTAATCGATGGCAATGGGTGTCTGCTTCATGCCCTGTTGCTGCGCCTCGATTAGACGGTTGTCGTGCGTTACTGGAAACCCCCCAACGGTTCTAGAAACTTTCAAATGCCGAGGCTCTGTTAGTTATAGTTAGTAGAAATGCAGCTAGTCTATGGGAATTGCGAGATTATGAAAATGCGAGATTCTGAAGATGCGAGATACTGAAAATGCGAGATTATGAAAATGCGAGATTATGAAGATGCGAGATTATGAAAATGCGAGATTATGAAAATACGAGATTATGAAAATGCGAGATTATGAAAAGCGAGATTCTGATACCAAATCCATAAATTGTCAAAACTATGAATTTCGACATAAGTAACCCGAAAACTAGAAACTAAATGCTAAATTTCTCGCATCTTTACACTTACTAAAATAAGAAAAATGCATGAAAGATCCGCAAATATAGAAAATATTCTTGTTAAATCCGCTTAATTGTTGAAGCTGCGCCTGTTTTAAAGTCTTTAGCGAGTCGAGAGGGGACGAGGTTAGTCATCGATGATTTTCCTGGCATTTTTGGAACTGGCCGAAGACAGAAAGAAGACAGTTTTGTGGACCTTTCGTTTTTTGATTTTGATTCGATGAGCTATCCAAATTCTGAAATCGACGATGGTTTCTTGGAAGGATCTGATTTCTCCCTGCCAATTCCACATGATTGCGTAAGCGTTATCGTTTTTTTAAGAAAATTTCGGCATTTCTAGCCCCTATCAACAAATCGGTGGCGGTTTCTGTTGCTGAAGGTAGGTCGTAACAGAAAATTCAGGAACTCTACTACAATGGTTTCAAAAAAAATTTTTTTTAGTTAGCATTCATCGCCTCACTTTTCCTTCAAATGGCAGTGGTTGTAATCTACGCGCTCGAGCCTATAACGCTGCTGTAAGAAAAACAATATTTTTTAAGACAGCCTTAAGCAGCCTAAACGTAGCTTTTTACGCCTTAAGCGTCTGCCTAAATTCAAATGACTGTATGTTGGGGGTATTAAAATGTATTTAAATTACCAATACAAAAAAATCGTACTTTTTAGTCTAGCTGAAGACCACCTCCGCTACGGTCTCGACGCTACGGTTATGACCATTTTGCTGGCCGTCAGCATCGTTTTTCTTGGAATCTTCATGGTAGTGGTGTTGCTAGGCATGCTTCGGAAACGACCAACCTTGCTCTTGGTTTACCTTGGTTTTCAGGTAAGTTTTTGAAAAAACCGGACCGAGCTGATTTGCTGGACTTACTAGTTCAAAATTAGGTAAACTAGTACTGTAATGCCAGAAAAATACTGCAAATTGTTCTGAATTAGATCGTCTGCATCCCGTTAATAGTAAGGCATTCACTTGCGTGGACTCCAGAATTACACTACACGACGAGGATGAAGGTTTTTGAAGGTATTCATTTTCGCTTTTCCAGATTACTAAAGTTGCAAATTATTTTGTTTTTAGCCTTGATTATCCCAACGCAGCTCCTATCGGCCATTATGGCTCTGTTCAACATTTCGGCGATGAATGCGTGTCGACGTTGCTATTGAGATTTTTTTGTGGTGTTTTTGGCGTTGAAATAAAAAACATAAATGGTCGAAGCTTCCAAGAAACATTGCTATTTGCTTCTTGTGCTTTCTTTTTTCCTTTCTTTCTTTCTTTCGACTCAAACAAATACGTATCAGAGATTCAGCTTTTCCAGAAAAAGTTGTTTTCCACGGCTTCATCAGGAAATCAGGTGACATCCGGTCGAATCCCTTGGCAACCGACAAGATTGGGACTGTAGTTGCTCCCAAATAAAAAAGTCCCCACCGACGGGCTATATTCCTAATTGCGGTTCTGATCTAATTTGCACCTGGGGATCTCAGCTGACCTTGCGACATTTTCACTAAAATTTCACTACAAAGTTATGGATTTTTGGTGTGGGCCGTCTGATTTTGTCAAAACCTTCACAAAATCTTTTTTACTCAAAGAAACATCTTCTTCATTTATTGCCGGTTAACGTTATTAGCTAAGAAAAAAAAATATTAAATCTATCATAATAAATGTATAAATTAAGGATGCAACCGCTACGTCCAGCTCCAGATGACTGCTGTCTTCCAATGGAAGGCATTCATAGATGTGTAGGTCCACTCATAAATTTAGTTGCGATATTATTTTTCAGGAGCTATCCGAAGACAACTTCCGCCACCGCCGGTTTAAGGTATCATAGTTCTTAAAAACCGTTCGCCCACCTTTAGAACTGGTTCCTGGTCCAGCTCTTCCTATCAGTTTTCTTCACCATGGGAGCGTTGGTCGCAGTGTATTACCTAAACTCACAGCAAGATCTCAGGTCGCGAAATTACTAAACTATAGAAAATATATAACCAATGCTAAATATTATCTAAAATACGTTCTTGTTAGTTCGACCCAAGACGCATGGGATTCCCAATTCGACCGCCGCACCCCCCGTGCGGTGGTGCTGATCGGCATGTCCCTGCTGCTGGTGTCGGCCCTAGGTCATGCTCTGGCTATCCGAGCTGTCCAGAAGAAGTGGGCCACCGTGCTCTCGGCCTACACCATAATCATGGTTAGTTGGTTTCAAAGAAGTTGACTTGAAATTCCCAACTAGCAAATTCGATAAATCCTAGTTCTAGCCGAGCTTCCAATTTTCCCAACTCACGCGAGTTTTTATGGCCAACTATTTTTTGCATAGATATTAAATATTCTTACGCTGCAAAAAAACATTTGCCTTTTGCTACCCTTACCAATAAATTTAAGATCGTCGCCTGGTGCTTGGCCGGCTGGGAGCTGACGATTCACAAGCGTGGCGGTACGTTTTTTTTGGATCTTTCCAAGGTTTTACCAATAGGAAATCCGCAGAAAACCCTTTTTTATGTTTTTTTTTCAGGGATTAACATTTGCGTGATCTCGCTGTTCATCTACCTATCCAACAAAAACGTCGTGGCCATGAAGACCTGCCCGGATTGCTACTGATCATTAATTACTTTTTTCTGGAAATTTTCAATAATCCTGTCCAAATCACATCTTGATATTTCTGAGGGTAAATAAATGTCAATCTGTATTCATGAAAAAACTCCCTAATTAATTAATTAACATGCACATGGTCAAAAGGGGGCAATCGCACGTAAAAGATTATGACTTGCATCTTAATTGACAGATTAATATCGTAAGAAGCGGCCAGGTAAGCAAGACATGCGTTGCGTGTCGCGGGCGAGGCCAGACTCTACTGACTGCTTCAATTTCTAGATTTCTAGAGAGTTCCATTCGCTATGCCGAATTTTGCTATGCCGAGTGACGCTGTCCCGATTTCCGCTATGCCGAATTTTCGCTATACCGAATTTTCACTATACCGAATTTCGCTACGCCGAATTTTTAGTATACCGAATTTTCACCGCGCCGATTTTCACGATACCGAATTTTCACCATGCCGAATCTTCGCCATACTAATTTTGATAAGCGGTATGTTCCCCATTTTTTTACTATTTTTCCAAATATCATGGGCCTAGAAAGTTAGAGTTAGCCTAGAAATTTCCAAAAACTCGGGCAGATCGTAGGTCCCGTAGGCGCAGCAGATCTTCTGTTGCACAGCAAAGTCCCAGCCGATCTTAGTTATTAATATTAGTAGAGACTATTAGTAGTAGAGTAGCAAAAATTCGGCATAGCGAAATTCGGTATAGCGAAAGTTCGGTATAGTGAAAATTCGGCATAGTGAAAATTCGGCATAGCGAAATTCGGCATACCAATAATCGGCATACTGTAGATCGGCACAGCAAGTATTTACCATTCCTAGATTGCCGCATGGTGTGCGTCAGCCCTGGACTTTTTGGAGAATGAACGTCGCGGTCAGTGGTTCGGTGTGGCGATCGCCTTCTCAAACATTTAAGAACGCGAAAAATAGCTAAAAAAAGCCCTATCCTATTTTTTCAGTTCTCCGCCTCCTGCTGCTCCCGTTCGTCATCTACTTGTCCCATAAGAACGCCACGGCGATCAAGCATTGCCCGGAATGCTATTGATTTGCGCGAAAGTCAAAGAAGCTGATACCAGTTTTTCATATTTTTTTTGTTTATTGCTAATTTCGAGGATTACTCATAAATTATTATGTTTGTTTGATGTTTTCCTTAAAGATAGTAACAACGTATTGAGTTAGAAAATGCAAAAAAAACGATACCTAGCAAATACAGCCTAGTCAGCGTCAAAAATTTTCCTCCAAAAGAAATTTATGATCGACGTCATCAAGTGATAATTTTTACCTCCGGCGCCAACAGCTCCTACGCCTCGAAACTCGGTCATACGTGGAAGTTGTGGGACCCGGGCTACGGTCGCGTAAAGTGTTGCATCCCGGAATTGACCTGTACTTCCTAAATCGTTGCTAAACTTTTGAGATTTTTGAGGTGAAGTTTTGGACGATTTTCTGTACTAATTTTTAAGTCAAAAGGCGCACAGCCTTCTGGAACCTCTTTTATTGAATTTCGCCAGTCTTGGCAGTTGCTCAACTGTGCTTCAGCTTTCAGGGAAAATCTCTCAATTCTATTGAACTGTCCGAAGCTTTCTAAAATGTCAGGTTTTTTTAGATTTCTAAAGTCTCCTCTCGCGTTGCCTTGCGAAATCGGGATCCCGTAGAGGTTTCCCTTTCAGCACTTCATGTTAGGGAAATATTGACACAGGGCGTTAGTCGTTCCAGGAAGTGAATCAGTAACAACCTTGGTTTCCATCGTAACGGAGAACACGGTTTCAAGTATTCATTGGTCTGGAAATTCAGATTCGTGTCTGCGTCGGTAATCAAGCCCCCCTCAATGGGCTGCTTTATTAAAAATCGTGGTTCTTGTTATTTGTGGGCCGCGGGTCACTTCTGAACGCCCGGCTATATCGGAAGTTTTTTTCTTTTCTTTTTTTTCTTCGATTTTTTTCGCCACATCCTTGCCCGATTTTCGCAGAAAGATTATGGAGAGGATCCTGAAAATAACAATGATTCTGGGGGGTTTCCGATCCTCTTACGCGTCATAGGACAGGAAAGGGAATAATGCTATTTGGTCGACGGTTAATCTGGCGAGTCGCCCGATTTGAGGGCCGACTAACAGCCGTGTTAACGCCCCGCCAAACTGGGAAAGTTGTGACACCGTTATATAGATAGCAGACGAACAAATTAGCTATAACGATTGAAAAAATTGCCATAGGTGGCGTAGAACCTACCATTTTGGCCACGATAAATTCTTGTTTGTTACTTTTTCCTGAGGCTCGGCTGTGCTTAGAAATTGACGTTTAAGTTTTGAAGCGAAAAACTTACGGCTTGCAAGTTTCTATAGGCAAAATAATCTAGGGCTACAGTATTAGCCGCCAGTAGATTCATAAAATAAAGTAGCCCATCCCCAGGGTCAACTTTGAATTCTCGGCCGAGTCGTAGTAAGGCCGAGACAAGATAGGGTATAATTAATTGAAGATACGGTCATTTTAACGAATAGTGAAAGTATCTTCCTTCGAAGGATAGGGCTACGAATCTCCTAGATAAATTTATATCGAGTGATCTTTTTTTACTACCCAAATGATACGAATTCTTGCGATATCCGAATCCCTGTAGAAAGTGTGAACAACTTTGAATATAGGGTCGAGCCGAAATATAGGATTTGCACTAGCGTGTTGTCCGTGTCATCCCCAAAGTTCAATAGAACTCTGAAAATTGGAAGCTTAAAAATATAGAAATTTCACGAACATTGGGCAATGAAGGGCAGCCTGGCTCAAGCTGACCAGAAAACGAGCTGCCGCTTCGGCTACGAGAAGCAATCTAAATAGTTTTTGGCAAACAATTTTGGTAAGGTGATCCTTACCTTACCGGGAACGCGAGATGTGAGTTTCTAGCTGTTAAATAAAGCGCAATAGGGTTAGCGAATACACCTAGAAGACTAATCTAAAAGGAAAAACATCACGATTCCTAGGTTTGGTGATTACCAATGCTGATCCAATGTTATAGACGTAGAGAATGTAAATGTGGCTCCCCTCTTCGTCGACATCAACATTATTTAGATACAGAAAGTAGGTCGCACGATCAAATTGTTCGATTAAGACCGTGATACCTAGGGATTACGATATTCAACTGGTCGTAAAACCTACTAAAAAGAATTATCGTAGCAATAACAACTTCTAGAACTTCTCGATACTGCCTGAACATCTAGAAGGGCTCGGGGAAATCGTTTCAAACGTGAAAAACAGATTTGAGTTAGCAAGGGGTCGGGATTCCAAGGCCCACTTAACACTCAACTCGCAAAAGTTGTGGTAGTAGGAGATTGCCCCCCATTAGTCATAAATAAGTAGAAAGTAGTAGAAAGTAGAAAAAGTGGAAAGTAGAAAAGTGTTTGTATTTTCAGCTTTCACAATGGGTCTATGGGGACCCAGAATCTCCCTCCCGGGCAGGGAGGGGGAGGCGGGGCCCCAGAGGGCCCGGCAACTGGGATCGGTGCCTCTCCGCATTTAAAGGGCACGTTAGGGACGTTTTTTTTTGGAAAAAAGAAAAGATTTTTGCCGCGGCCGGGGGTCGAACCCGGGCCCCCCGCTCGGGTGGCGCGGATGGATACCAGTCAGCCACAGCAACAACCTGGCGAGGGGATGAGGGGCGCCCCACGCCGCAAAGGAGGGGAATGGCCTGTCACAGCACGGGCAGGCAGTGCGCGCGGTCTTTACGTCCATAGGGTGTATACGTTGGGACGTGTATACGGCCCCTCCCTGAACGTGCGCTTTAATTATACCCGTCATTGCCGCATCCGCTTGACAGGTGATGGGGGCTTTGGCAGGCTGCTCACACCCTGACCCTGCACACCCGGCCAGGCTGCCGATATCGATTAGCTTGCAATTTCCTGTATGAGCTAATATGGATCGGTCAAATTTGTGATTGAGGGATAATTTCAGGTGTGCCGAGCCGCTCGTGCTAGCCAAGACCGGAAGTCCGTTCACTTCGTGGATTTGGTAGTTGATTCCGATAATTGGTAACACATTTGTCTGATTCTCCAGCATTTGTGAGAAAGATTGCGAAGGGACTTCTACACACAGCAGCACGCAAACTACCTGAAAAGGCCGCACCTATCGGGGCCGCATTTCCAAATCATGCTACTCAACAGGGCACTCAGCTCCTACAGGGTGGCGATTAAGTATTTGCGCCTGTTTCAAGCACGTTTTTAGGAACTAAATCGTAGTCGGCAGAAAAACAAATAAGTCCATTTTGTAGAGAATTTTTTGCTCTATCAGATGCAAGGTGAAAACAGGAAACCGCTTCACCACACAATTTTAATTTGTCTAAACATGTAAAACCGCGTTTTTTTGTATGGATTTTCTTCATTTTTGAGGAGCTCAGAAATTTTTTTGAAGAATCTGGATACATTTCCCGATGTTTGATCGTGGAAAGAGCTATCTGAACTTGCTAGAAAAAATGGGTATGGGCAACAGGGAGTCCTGAGTAGGGCACGGAAGCGAAAGTAAATTTTGGCAAAGCTCGAGGGCCGCGCATCCTGTCTCAGAGCGACTTATCGCAGAAGAATGCATTCTAAAAAATCGCACCTTTGAGGTATCTCCTTCGTTTTGCTATCAAAATGTAGGTAATTCTTTCGTCTCTTTACTAGCCACTTTCGCTAGAGCGAGAAAGGCTAAATTCTCCAGCCCATGATTTTTTTAAGCGTGGAGCAAACGGGTCGCATAACCATGCATTTCATTCCATCGTTTTGTGCAAACATTTTGAGCTTTTTGAACGCCTTTAAGCTTTTCCGGACCGTTTGGATTGTTTAACCAAGTCCCCATCATGGAAAACATCTTCGACAAGTGATTGTAAAAATGTGAGACATTTTGTGTTTTTCGTGAAAAAGCCTACCGCGCGGCTCAATTTTGGTGGTCGAGAAAACTACGAATAAATTTAGGATCCGATTAGAAATAATTTTTCTGTCTACTACGTTCGCTAAAGGGCATTGCAAAGAATATAAAGACCACTTGTT